CAACTCTATGTCTCCGTGCCTTTTTGATTTTTTCTTCCATGTACTTTGTCACTATGTTGCCAAACACTATGTTGTTATCGGCCATGGACGGACCAATTTTCTTGTATCGATCCCTAAAGTACGCTTGCGTGCCGTGAAGGATGAATTCAACAATAGCAACCAATGGAAGTACCCGAACTCCTCGCATTACCCAGTTGTACACCTCTGCCAAATTGGTTGTCATTATGCCATACCGAGATCCATCGGTGTCGAACAATAGAGACCACTTCTCCTTAGGCTCATTCTCAATCCACTGAGTGAAATTTCTGATGGACGACCCTGACCTCCTTCTCATTGTTGGTGGGTCATCATGTAATGCACCAAGAGGTATGGGAGGCTCGTCACCTTCAACTTGTGGTCTGCGAGATTGCTCATCTGTTTGCTTCGTTGTCAACTCATCCAACTTGTCCCACAACTCATTAAATTTCTTCTCTTGGTTCTGTGCACAGAGCCTCTTAAAGAGCTCCATAAGATGCTTGTTCTTGAATTGCTTGTAGAAATTTGCACCCATGTGACGCATGCACCACCGACTCCGAACATCAGGCCACTTAGCTGGAAGTCCCTTCTCATCCCAACCGTTCTGCAAGTAGTCAATAGCCCGCAACATACCCGCATGACGATCATGTATAAGGCAAACGTTGGGCCTCATACGCACCACTGCAATGTGCACTCTCTCTAGGAACCAGTACCAGCTTTCAGTGTTCTCACTCTCTACAAATGCAAAAGCCATAGGTAGAACCTGGTTGTTCCCATCACACCCAATTGCTGTCAATATCTGACCTCGGTATTTACCTGTCATAAAAGTTCCATCTATGCATAGAACAGGTCGACAATGCACAAAAGCATTGATGCAAGCACCCAATGAGAAAAAGGCTCTTTGCAGCACACTCTTTGTTCGATCATCAACCGATGTAAATGTATGTAGGTCATAGTAAGTATTATTATTCCTCTGGGCAATGGTGGCTAACAAACGAGGCAAATTATCATAAGAAGCTTCAAATGTGCCATACCTCATCTCAATAATCTTTTGTTTGGCTCTCCAGGCCTTTGCATAGCTTATGGTGTACTTGAATTTGTTCTCGATGTGCCTAATAATTGATTTTGGTTCAAAGCCAATGTTACCAACAACACTGCTGTACATCTCACTTGCCACAAAAGCTGAAGTGATGTTTCGGTGATACTTCTCCACCCCTTGTAAGTAGCACTTGTGCTCGGTCACAATGCTAACTTTCCAATAATCATTCCATTTACCCTTATATGCATGGACACGCCACGGACAATCTTCCTTCATGCACCTCACTTCATACACATAATTTGTTGACTTGACCACCCTAAACTCTCTCTGCAAGGAAACTGCCCAATGCTTCACCGCCTCCTTCATCTCATCCTTATAAGCATACCTTGCACCGTCAATTACCTCGTTCTCCTTATACTCCCAGGGTACATGATCACCCTCTGATATAACAAGTCCAGAGAAGTCCTCATTTGCCCAATCAGTGGCCATTACATCACCTTCCTCATCGGATGATGCGTCGTCGTCCGCTTCCTCATTATCCGAATCTTCCCTCTCCATTTCATCAACAATTATACCGACTCTCTCCCCCTCATCCGCCATGCCCATGGCCTGCTCCTCCCTTGGTTGATTTTCCTCATTTTGCATCGATGGTCCAACAACATCCCCTGCATTGATAGGACCCTCTACATCTTCGGTTTGCATTGAAACATTTATATCTTTCTCTTGTACCGACACAAATATAACGAGGGGCCATGACCGTTCAAAAGCCATTTCCACATACCGTCTCCAAGCAGCAGTGCTGTCCATCGGCATTAGTTCCCAAAAATAACCTTCTGTTGCACGACTCACTACAACTGATACTGACATTGTGTAGACTTCTTGGTCTATTCTAAATCCTCTCAACAACCAACTATAAATTGACTGAAATGTTCTCTCCGCAGGCCTATCGATGCCCTTAGATGTCATTACAAAATCTGACAGATCAACACCATCTGGACCAAATCTAATATTTCCTTCACCGTGAACTATCTGAAATGTGACCTTATTTGACATTGTGCCTGATGAAAACAATAACTGCGTTAACCTCGCATTTCTGTACTACGCCCTAAGTTACATTCTCTACAATATTGTTCTCCAAAATTCTAAAAGTAGGTTACATTCTCCAGATCAAACTAAACTACATCTTACAATTAACACTACTGTCTATGTCTCAATTCATACTATTATATTCTATGCTCTGGATCTACACATATGTGCTGTGTGCTACAGATATGCTAAAATATATGGAACTAAAACTAAAACGCAACATATATACTCAAACATAACATATTAGTACAAATGCAAAAGATGTATGGGAGCAAACCTGTGATGAAGTGAGCGAACCAGCAGGGCTTCGCCGCTCCCCTTCTGCTGCCCTCCCCTCTCTCTCTTTCGTTTTTTTTGGATTTTTAGTGAATATAATGAAATTTCAGAGAGGGGGGACTGGGCTTTATAGGGGGGAGGCAAAAATCGCCCTCCCCCAGGGCGGCAAGGGGGCCGCCTGCAAAATTCCATGCCCCCTCGCCGCCCATTTGCAGGCGGCCCCCCGCACAGTACAAAATCGCCCTAGCGGAGGGCGGCAAGGGGGCCGCCTGCAAATTTCGTTGACGGCCGTCGCCCGAGAGCGAACGGCCGTCTGCCACGTCATTTTCGCTGCCCTCTGGGATGACGATTTTTAAAAATCACCCTCCCAGAGGGCGGTAGGCGACTACTTCCGTCAATTTTCAAAATGGAAAATTATTTTTGTAAAACTTTTAATAAAAAAAATTAAAAATAAAAAAAATTCCCGATCACGCCACTCATGATTGAATTACTCTCTCTCAGTAGTCTTATCGCTGTAAAATTAAGATAATTACTTATTTATCCTTCCACCCAATCTATCAATTAAGTACCTTGGCCCACTTTTTACTACCTTTTGGAAGATACCTTTCTCCGTGGACCATTAGATTTTAGTTGATTAACGAACCATATAACTTCCCAGCACTGGAGAACCACTCCAAAAGCAAACGTTCAGGCCCTAGATTTAAAAAGAAAAAAGTTATTTTGCGAATAGTTTGGTTGGCTTGGGAATTGCGGTTAGACTTCTTTAGACTGGAGTAACTTGGGCCTTGACTAGGTCTGCGCACTTCATGGGCCGCCTAAACCGCCAGCGGTATCGGCAGCAACTACCGTCGCTTCCTCACCATCGATCTTCTTCACATTGCTGTGGGTAAAAAAATTCTCTCTCGAGAAAGTTCATCCTTCGCCGGCGGCAAGCCGGCAACATGCTGGCCTCCGGTTTCATCGAGTACAAACTTGACTACCAAAAAATAGCCAGAAGCCTTTTGTCTGGGATCTTTTGATCCTTGTAATCTGTATGATGTGAACCTTAGGCCTTTCCCTTCTTAATGAAATCCTTCGGCAGAGCTTTTGCCCTTACTCCTTGAAAGAAAAACCAGAAGCTTTCCGTCGAGACGTTCCACGTGCACCGGGCTGTGCTCGCCACTCGCTCACCGGTGTTCAAGGCGGAGTCCCTCGGCTCGATGGTGGAGACCACCGTATGCCATGCGTCACGATGCACGACATCGACCCGGCCACGTTCAAAGCTCTACTACACTTCGTGTTAAAACTTTGAGTAAATAAGACCTTGCCCTTTTTAGGTCAGATTTTGACAACCTATATATATTTCCTTAGCGGCCCGTTTAGTTGGAGGGAGCTTTTAGAAGGGATTGGGAGTTTAGAGGGATGAGGCTATTAACTGTTTTGTTTGGTTGGGGGACATGGGAATTTTAGTGGGATGGGGATAGGGAATTGAGAAATGAACTCCCTCATTTTCAATACCTGGGTAGGGGCACGTAATTGGGAGGGAATTCCTCCTTTACTTCGCCTAAACAAATCTCAGCCATCCGTTTTCATTAATGATCTAATCTTTAACTAAACTCCCTATTAATTTCCATCACCTCTGCCAAACAAAAGACTGTGATGAAAAATTAAATTCCCATCTTAATCTCACCATCAATTCCCTCGTGTAAACTGTGGCCCGTTTGGTTGGAGGGAGTTTTTAGAAGAGATTAGGAGTTTAGAGGGATGAGGCTATTAACTGTTTTGTTTGGTTGGGGGACATGGGAATTTTAGTGGGATGGGGATAGAGAATTGAGAAATGAACTCCCTCATTTTCAATACCTGGGTAGGGGCAGGTAATTGGGAGGAAATTTCTCCTTTACTTCGCCTAAACAAATCTCAGCCATCCATTTTCATTAATGATCTAATCTCCAACTAAACTCCCTATCAATTTCCATTACCTCTACCAAACAAGAGACTGGGATGAAAAATCAAATTCCTATCTTAATCTCACCATCAATTCCCTCGTGTAAACTCCCAATCCCCTTCCCTCAAGTACGAAGAGTTGTTGTTCTTATCTGCTATTTTCCTATATTTCAATATACCTTATCGTATAATATTAGGTATATATGTGGTATCTATGGTGATTACGAATCCAATTATATGACATATCTAATCCATAAAATTGACAAATTCATTGTTGTATCTGAAGTCAAACAATAAAAAAAATCATATAGTTTGACAACATGTAAATATATCTATATTACAAAAATATATTTCATGGTGAATCTAAAAACATAACATCTTATTATGTTAAACCATACATTTTCTTAAAAATTAATAGTTAAAGATAGACATGTTTAGTTTAGCATAAACATAAAACACCAAGTACTTATTATCTCCTACCAATCAAAATATGACTCAAATGCGTACATAAAAAAGGAATCATTTATCTTGCCGAAAATAAATTCCTACAACGTACTATGGTTCACGTCATGAACTACTCTAGTTCACGTCATGATACGCAGAGCGTGTCCGTGAGATTTTCGATATATATAAACTTTATTAATTTGTCCGTTTGGCGGCATATTTTTGCAATTAATTAATAATACACCAAAAATACGATGATGATATCATCCAGCTTCGCCGAGTTGAAGCTCGAGTACCCAGGGACGACGACGACGACGAACAGCTTCGCCGTCGGCGACGGGGAGCAGTCGTGGGTCATCAGATGCTACCCGCGCGGCTACCGCGAGGAGGACAATGGCGAGTACGTCTCCCTGCGCATCGGCGTGCCGGCGAGATCGAACACCGTCAGGGCCATCTTCCACACCTTCCTGATGCGCCGCGACGGCGGCGTCGGCGCGCCGTCGATCATCTGCTCGGACAGGGCCTTCCCGATGAGTGTCCCCGGCCACCCCCGCGGCTACGGCGGCGCGTTCCGGCACCTCGTGAGGCGGAGCGACCTCGAGCCGCTCTACGCCGTCGACGGCGTGGTCACGATCGTCTGCGGTGTCGTGGTCTTCGCCGACGCCGGCGGCGGCGGCGGCGACGACGACGACGGCGGCCCTATACCCGTCCCGCGGTCGAACCTCGGCGGCCAGCTCGGCGGCATCGTGGACCGCGCCGACTGCTCCGACGTGTCGTTCTCCGTCGGCGGCGAGACGTTCCACGCGCACCGCGCCGTGCTCGCCGCGCGCTCGCCGGTGTTCAAGGCGGAGCTCCTCGGGTCCATGGCGGAGGCCGCCATGCCGTGCGTCACCCTGCACGACATCGATCCGGCCACGTTCAAAGCTCTACTACACTTCGTGTACACGGACGCCTTGCCGTCGCCATCGACGTCGTCGTCGTCGTCGTCGACGACGACCGGTTTTTTCGAGAGCTTGCTCGTGGCGGCGGACAGGTACGCATTGGAGAGGTTGAAGCTGATGTGTGCACAGAAGCTGTGGGAGAGCGTGTCGGTGGAGACGGTGGCGACGACGCTAGGCTACGCCGAGACGTACCATTGCCCGGAGCTAAAGAGCAAGTGCCTCAACTTCTTGATGGCGGAGAGCAACTTCAAGAAGGTGGCCGTCACCAATGGCTACTTTCATCTTAGGCAGGACTTCCCGTTAATTATTGAAGAGATTAAAAAACGGATTGAGAGTTAAAAACTTTACATATAGATATCGGTCGCTTGCAAGATTATTGCCAACATGTTAACCTCCAGTTTCGTCTTCAACCTAGATTACCAGGAGACGCAGAGCTTCGACGTCGGCGACAACATCGCCAAAAGCATCGACGAGCACTGTTCGTGCGAATTATTATAATATATTTTCCCTCTATTATCTGGATGCTGTGAATTTTCTTTGTTCTTGATAAATCTTATGCCATAGTACAGTAAGCAGAAAGACCAACAGTTTCTCATCCAAATGATATTTCCAAAACATTATGGTTATTCGACATTGCCGCCAACAAACTCATTCACAATGATTTCCATGAAATACACCCAAAACTATAAACATGATTTTATTTCTCAGCTTCATTTTCCATAGAAGATGCACGTCAAGCTAAACGGAACGAGGCCGCAGATTAACACCAAACCATGTACACCAATGCTGACCTACTACTGCCTCAACACGAGCGTTAACAACTGTACACAACAGTACACGGCTGCTACCTGACCAGTCTCTGATTGTACAACCGAATAAATGGTGCGAAGGATAGCTAAACCTCCGTTCTCTACTACAGGTACAAATGATGCATCACACAAATGATCTAGTATTTCACCAGCAATATTGCACAGAACAACAGCACATGCAAGCTTAAATGGTGTCATGGAATTGGATCCCTCTGCGCACCAGGTGGAGCTGTTGGCATTGGGAAATTGAATGGGTAATAGGTTCCTCCAAACTGTGGGGCCTCCACATATGGGCTCTAGAACAAGAGAAAAAAGTATTTTAGCATGTCATGAGAGAAGGCTATATAAGAGCTCTTAAGCCTCTTATAGATTAATTACTGTGCTCCAAGTTCAATCTCTCAATGAGTCAATCAATAAGGCACCATGATAATGGACAGTGGCAAATGGCCATCTTGAGAAATTCGACAGAAGTAAAAAATCATAATGAGCTGCTACCTGAGCATGAGGAGGGTTAGGGATAGGATTGTATGGTGGTTCCCTTCTTGGTGATGTATCGGGGGAGCTCCCGTCATTGTCATCCATGTTATCTATATTCCTCATATCCGATGCTTCCCCCTCATCATTGTTGAGCTTAACCCGCTAAGTGAAGGGTAAATACAAGTCATATAATGAAAATGTCAACAGCATCACCAAAACTTTAATGAACAAATGAACAAGCTATACCTGGAAAATTTTGCCTAATGTTTTCAGTCCTTTAGCACGAGCACGCAGTTCCTCCCTCCTGACGCTTCCATCTTGAAGCACCTGGCATCCATACAATGTTCAAAATTCACTATCACACTAGTTATGTTAAAAAATAACCATGAGTAAAACGGTGATGGGTAAGCTGGGACAGACCATTTGACAGACTCGTGATAGGGTGGCTTCTATGTCAGCAACGTTAAGCTTCCACAAGGAATCAACCATAACCTTTTTGTGGTTTTGCATGAACATTTCTAGTTCCTCCTCTGTGTAATGGCCTTCAGCACTAAGATACTTCTTCAAGTCTTCTTGCAACTGCATCAAAGCTATTGCACCTACAGAACCATGAGACAACCAAATTCTTTATGATTAATATAATGCTAGCACAATAGATGACATTAGCTGTATCATATACTTTCAAGTTAAATATATTGATGAGTTATGTTACCTGCTGCAGCTGTTACTTGGGATTTGATGAAATGGCCTTTGTCTCTGAACCACTCAGCTACAAATGGAACACCCAAGAATATTGCTTTCTTCCCAAGTTCTTTTGCAGCTTGTCTCGAATATACATAGCCGATAGTGTTTAACATAACAGTGCCATATGCTGCACAAGAAGCAAAACATGACCAAACAGAATGAGAAAGTTCACATAATGTAGCTTAAAGACCAACCGAAGTCACAATGAGCACTCAACAGAGCAAAAACAACAAAATATACCAAAACGAACATTTAATGGGTTCTATTTACGAACTTGGCAAATATACTTTAATATAGGGAAAATTGGTAATATGCCATCGAGCTAACATCATCATATACTTGCAGGAATAGCATATAGGCCATTCACATCCTTTTACAACATGCGCATAATTAAAAAAAAAAAGAATGAGCTTATGGTGCTTGTATATTCACTTCAATTAATAAGCTCAGCAAGAAGTATGTGTAGCCAAAGAATAGCATACTAATTTTTGGATCTGTTTCAGCTGAAGTGGATGATTCTAGATGCCATCTCATGAGATATGCTTGTCAAGATATCTTATTATGCAGTTATCTATTCAATCATGTGATAAATAGGTACAGTTCCTTAAATATCATATGCCAACTTCTCTAAGATAAGTGTTGAGCAAGTCCTTGCAGCAATAAGCACTTAAGCAGGAAAGGAAGAGAGCAAGGGGGGAAGTCAGAGTTGAGGAAGAGGGTGGGTAGTATTGACAAAAACCTGCATTGCTAAGTCTGGTCACCTCAGCTTGAGCAAGCTGGACAAATTCCTCTTTATTTCCTTGAACGTAAATGTGCAGTCGGTTTTTCAGTGTCTCTGCAAGTTTCTCTTCCCTTTCCTTTTGAACAGCCTGAATTGAAGTATACTACTCAGCAGAATATTGTGGCAGAAGAATATGAAAAATGCAACAAATATGAAAAGAAAGCTGCCAAAAGAATCATACATTAATGTCCATTGACTGTATTCATGTTATTCAATGAGCATGGAAGATGATATAAAATAAACCAGCTAAAGGAGCATGCCTGCATTCTCTCGTGCAACCTCCTTGTGTCAATATGTTCATCTTCACCGAAATTATCAAGTGAAGCCATTGATGCCATAGCCAGTTGACCAATATAATCTTCAAACAACTCACTACCAAATAGCATTGCAAAAATTGCTGCTGGATCAATTATCCCTTCCCTATAGAATTTCAAAACCAAATGAGCTAGAACATTGTTGTCTGGTATTATTATTCAAAACAAAAAAGAGGTAATCACTAAGTATCCCACAAAAATCTGCATCTCTCGAATGGAAGAAAAAAAAAGAAGTTCAACTATAGTACTGGCGTTGCTTTGCCACAAATGGCAAATTAATAACCATGAAAATCCTATAAAGCTTTTCAATATTTTGCAAGAGCATCATATAATTTCTTTGAGAAAATCAGCACATACGTTGAGATGCCAGATTTCCCATGTGCGTCATAAGCTTGGCGCTGCGTAGGGTCACTAAGAACTTGGTATGCCTCTCCTAGTGCCTGCAATGAGAATTCCTATAAGTAACAATAGTACGGAATAGGAAAATATGCAAAAAAAAAAAAAGCACCCTTTCTAATAAAGCCAATGCCATATAATACTACAATGGCTATGCAGTAACAGCTTCAAATATATTCATTGCTGCTTTGGAGTTAGGGAGGAGAGAAGAATGTGATATGTTACTAATACTAGTAAAAATGCCCGTGTGTTGCAACGGACCTATAAAATATTAATTGTGCCCTGTTTCTGTTTATAGCCAATTTTTTTAATTGTTTTTACATGTTTTCTGTCAGCTGTTAAATAAATCCAGTTTTTTGGGGAGGCGAGGATGTGGAGCAAGTGGGGCAAGTGGGGCATGCGCTGCATGCCTCTTTTTCTCTCACTGTGCGTGGTGGAGGGAGGGGAGTGCGGACGGACGACTGCCTTTTTAAGTAGATTAGAGATATCATATCATAACCTCGCGATCATTAACTGGCATGTTATTACACAGATTTCATTTGTGGAATGGTCGATCTGCATAGTTAAGTTGAATGGCCTAACTAGAACTTACTATATATCTCAGCAATATAATTCTGATTCCAAATGTTAGATATTAAACTTCCTGATGTTGAGTTTCACAGAGCAGTTTAGATAGGCAAACACTTAGTTTAGCATATATAGCTAATCACCATTAACCAAATCTCAAACGTAAAAAAGGCAAAGACACATTTTATGTTTTCAGAGTAATAGAGACTGGTGGAATGGTGGTTACTAATAAGCATTTAGCTGTATAACCTTAAACTTAAAGTGATTACTGATTAACTAGCCAAACAAACAAAAACACGACTGCTTACGAAACCAATCCGCAGAGAACAGCGTGCTGGGATAGTGACTTTGCGCATCAGCTATCCAGCTAATAAGCATCTAATCTGTCCAACATCTCGGACTTTGCGCATCAGCTGTCCAGCTAAATAAGCATCTAATCTGATTCAATCGAGGGTTCTACACTACCCTGTGAGCTGCTTGCACCGAGTTGATTATAAGGGTATAAGTTGCCAGTAGTAGAACAATGGCGGAACACCTACCTGGAAATTCTCCGCGGCTTTCGGGTCATTGGGGTTCTTATCCGGATGGACCTGCCGCGCCTGCGCCACCACCAGCAAACACAAATCAGACCAAAATCAAGCGACGACGACGACGACGACAAGTCGACGAATCCTACTTACCTTCATGTAATACGCCTTCTTGATCTCGGACTCGGTGGCGGTCGGGCTCACCCCTAGCACGTCGTAGTACCCCGTCTCCTTCACCATGGCCGCCGCCGCCGCCGCCGACCGAGCTCAAACTAAGCTCCCCGCCTCCCGCGCTCCCCGATTCGGTTCCCCCCGCCGATTCGATCCCGTGGTGGGGGCAGATCTGCCGGGCTGCTGTCTGCTCGCCGGACGGTGGATCGACGGAGATGGCCGGCGGGCGGCGGCGGCGGCGGAGGCGGAGGAGGAGGAGGCGGCGCGGCGGCAGTGGTGGTCGGGCTTTTGGGGCTTTCCGGCAAAGCGCGTGGCGGCGAATTAAACTTTTTGTTTATTTTTTATCTTTTTGGTTGGGGGGTGAGGGAAATGAGGTGGCCGGTGGGCCCACCAGTGGCTGGGCAAGTTGGAATGGGCCCCCGGCCCGTGGATCGGTGGAGTCCACCGGATCTAATCCGGCATCGGTGGATATGGGACAATCGTCTCTCTTTCTAGAGAAATCTTCGCTGCCTTCTCTTTTTTTTTTCGCCTTTCTTCGGTGGAAAAACACTGGAAACACTCCCCTATTTGCTGGCTGAACAACAAAGCCCTCCGTCTCAAAACGCTTTGGTCAAATGGAGAAAAACAAAAGTCGATAAGAATAAGGATGAGAACATTTGGAATCGGTAACGTATCTTCGAAAACGACGCTTATCTGTTTAATAATTGATAATATTTATCAATTAAAATATTAAGTATCGAGATTAATGCGACACCGAACGAAATTAGAAAAAGAGTAAATTGCATCTTGGACTATTTTTTCTTACCTGTGTTGTAACTTGAACCAGTGAAAAAGTAAACTTTTCACTTTGGACCGGGTATATTTACACAAGGTTTCAATTTAGACTCTCTTCTTCTTCCTCCAACTCCCTTTCTTACTCTCTTTTCTCTGTACAGCTCAAGGTCTCTTTCTCGATCAGGTGTAGTGCATGAAAAGGCAAGAAGCAAAACCCTTCTTCATAGGGTAGCCACCCGCCGAAGTTGATTTCGAGCTCAAATGCAGGCGGCACTACGAAGGCGGAGCTTGAGCGTTGCAAAACTTGTTGAAGCTCGAGCGACACATGTGGAAATTTAGCGCAGGCGTGCAGCATAACATGTAGCACTAGCGGAGGTCGAGCATGAGCTTGAGCATGGCTATCTGCTACTTGACTTAGTTCTTATCGTCAGTTCAGAAAGTAGCAGCAACTGTCTGTCATTGCCGGCCAGCTTCTTCGTATGCTAGTTGCTACCAGTAGGAATACTTGTTGTGCACCCTCCGCTGTCCTTGAAATTAAGCCACAAGCACTAGGTAGTCGATGATTGAAAATGCAAACTACCCTTTGAATTCTTTGGAAGACTTTACAGATTGAAGGGGAGAGAGGGGGAAGAGAGTTGGAGGAAGAAGAAGGGAGTCCAAATTGAAACATCATGTAAAGATACCTGGCCCAAAGTGAAAAGTTTGGCTTTAGCCTAGTCCAAATTGTAACAATGGTAATCAAAGGTGGCTCAAGGTGTAATTCACTCTTAGAAAAACCAATTTTTTTAGGTTTAAAATAGTAATGGTCAGAAACGGTACCACTCATACGAAAACAATTCTAGATCGATCGAGAATTTTTATGACTATTTTTATCCTTACATGTAAAGATGTACGTCCAAAAGCCGAACATATAAATCTTTTTGTATTAGTAAAAAGATATGGTGTATTTACTTAATCTCTTTGTTTAGTACATTGGATTACCAATAAACAATAGAAAATACTATAGTACACTTGATTTCTTTTTCCAATAATAGCCGTTGCGAAAATAACACATCTTAACTCTCATGAATGAATACACGTACTAAGAGAAACGGTGCAGAACTTATAATGCCCTATCCTATGTCTGAAAGAAAATGTGTGTCGCCATTGAAATCAGAAAATGGAAAGTGAAAGAAAGAAGGGAGGAGAGAGATGAGTGTTGTTGAAATGTTGGGGTCCACCAATAGCTTTGTTTATTCTTTTTCTAAAATGAAATGCGACGTAAGCAGCCACGTTAGATAAAATCACCAAACCGCTTAGGGACATAAATTGATCTTGTTTTAATAGTTTGGGATGCTCCATATCTGGTTTTTGGGTTGAATGAATCAATTTGGGGCTATAATTGGGGGATGAATAATGAACTTCTTCTATGAAATTGCTCAATTTCACTCCAATGAAAGCCGTATCACAAAATGGGCCTTAAGCCTTGAGGCCTTTTTAGACAGCCGGAGAACACCGGCCCATCTGAAGTTCGAAACAACCCAATAACACCAAATTACGAAAATACCCCCGAACAGCGATATCACATCGGCCCTTCCAGCTTGCCCCCACCAACCCACCCCACCACCGACACTCTCTCTTCTCCGCTCCTCCTCCGCCGATCACGCGCTCCGCATCCGCATCGCCGGCGACGATGAGGACGTCGCGTGCGGCGGCGGCGGCGGCATCTCTGCCGCTGCTGCTGCTGGTGGCGCTACTCGTGGCGGCGGAGGGGAGGAGGCACAAGGACGGCAGCGGCGACGAGGAGGCGAAGGCGTGCGACAAGGGGTGGGAGTGCAGCGGGAGCCGGTTCTGCTGCAACGACACCATCACCGACTACTTCAAGGCGTACCAGTTCGAGGAGCTCTTCGCCCACCGCAACGACCGCTCGCTCGCCCACGCCGCCGGGTTCTGGGACTACCACGCCTTCATCACCGCCGCCGCGCTCTTCGAGCCCCGCGGGTTCGGCACCACGGGAGGGAAGGAGGTTGGGATGAAGGAGGTCGCCGCCTTCCTCGGCCACGTCGGCGCCAAGACCTCCTGTACGTGTGCTGCTCTTCTTCTTCTTCTTCTCGCTGATCGTTACTGTGATTTTACCAATTTGATGTTGCGTGGATCGAGAAATAGATTGGGGGAAATGGACGAATTGGTAGTAGATTTGCGGCCTACTGTAATCTTTAGGATAGGTGCTCTGCGGAGTGTTGCTTTTAAGATCTGAAAGTAATCTGGATCCGTGTGTAGAATGGGAGGTAACAATTTTTTATCTCAGCTAGTAGTTAATTGCTGCCGAATGCAGCTATATGTGGAGCATGTTAATTAGTTTTGATTGGCATCGTGTATCATCCTTGGCATTTCCATATTAAAAGTAGACAACTGCAATTCTGCATCTGAAATTCTGAATATCACAACACAGTGGACTTTGGTCCGATTTGAATATGTACTTGATTTGTAAAGAAGATTGTAACCTAAGGTTTGTTCAATTGGTAGCAATCTTCAGAAGTTTCGTTCCAACTGTGTGATATGTTCTGTTGTTCACCGAACACGTGAACTTCAGATGAATAAAAAAACCCTAGGCTAGTAGCATCTGATAGAGTATTGGAATTGTGATTTCTACAGGTGGATATAGTGTCGCAACTGGTGGTCCATTGGCTTGGGGGCTTTGCTACAACCATGAATTGAGCCCAAGCCAAAGCTATTGTGACAACAGCAACGAATTGTATCCTTGTGTTGAAGGAGTCGAGTATTATGGTCGAGGCGCTCTTCCTGTTTACTGGTTAGGCTGACCTATCCCTATCTTGATAGCTGTTGATTAGTAACTGATTAGGTTAAGGTACTGACTAATTAAATCTGCTTGTACATGGTATTCAGGAACTACAACTATGGTATTATCGGTCAGGGTATCAAACAGGATCTGTTGAACCACCCAGAGTTATTGGAACAGAATGCGACCCTAGCATTTGAAGCAGCAATCTGGAGGTGGATGACTCCAATGAAGAGGAAGCAACCATCAGCCCATGATGTATTCGTTGGCAACTGGAAACCAACCAAGAATGACACTTTGTCCAAGAGGTATCCTGGCTTTGGTGCTACAATGAACATCCTGTATGGCGATCTCATCTGTGGTCAAGGCTCCATCGATAAGATGAACGTCATTGTATCCCACTACCAACATTATCTCGACCTGATGGGTGTTGGTAGTGACAAAGCTGGAGATAACTTGGATTGTGCTGACCAGGTGGCGTTCAATCCATCCTCAAAGAATTTGGACTCCTAAGCAATCTGTGTTATATAGACGGATAATTCCCTGTAAATTTGAGGCACAGACAGCTAGCTTCCCAAACAAAGAAAAGCGTATACATGGTACTTTTAATAGCTCCCAAGTACCACCTGTGTTTGTTTGCGAAATTTGTAGCCTATTTATGTAAGTGTCCACTATGTTCTCTCATTTATATGTGACAATACATATTACACACTGAAGCAGATAATTCACATTCAAACATGCAATGACTGTTGTAAATAAGCATATAATTTCATTGCAGTTTGCTTAGAAAGTTCTGTACTACCTGTTTACATCAACAAACTATGATTTTTCTCACTTGTTCTGTGAACATGATTTCTTGGCATCAGCAGTAACTTGTAATTGAGTTTAACGGTGGGATCTTGGCTTACTTTGTTTTCTAAATTGTGTTAATTGTTGGTGCTCTTTTCTTTTCTTTTTTCTTTTTTGCTTAGCTTGTTTTATAGATTTGTGTTGAAATTGCAAATTTAGTAAGGCACAAACAGTTCAAATCATACTCTATTACCATAAAAGGTTTAATGAACAGATGGGAGTATTTACTGGTGAAAGAAAGATATCCACATAGGAAGAGACATTAATGGCATTTATGAATTCTAAAAATAATCACTGGAGTATCAGAGGCATATTCTTCAGAACTACAATTGGGCAGATATTTACCACTGAAGTACAGCTTATCCAAAGTGCTTTCTTGGGGACCATCAGTTGGGAACCACACATGTATAGCCAGGTAGAGATAGGCTGGCTGACTAGTGACTAGTGAGTTGTGTCCTTTTCCTCTTTCAGTTCAGGATAGTAGCAGCCATTGCTGACAGTTAACAAGGCCAGAAGGACGGGAATGGAGCTCACTAATGTCCCCCATATTGCAGCCTCCTCCCGCTTCTTCTCCAGCTGCAGTCGTTGCACCTGCAGGTAATGTTTGCATCTTCTCTCATGCTTTGATACCAACCGTGCCATCATTTGTTCATGGAAGGCACATGACCTGTGAAAATTGTGATGATACAGGATTAGAAGAAGTGGGAAGACGAGGATAGGAGCTTCTGCTGCTGGTCGTAGGTGCAGTAGTGATGATTCTGCTTGTTCAGAACCCTCTGAGCAGCAAAATGCAGATTTCTTTTCAGGTATGAGTTGTTTCCATTGCAAGAACTGAGAGAATGCTTCCAGTGCCTACTGATATATTTCTGCCCAACTGAATTTGCTTTGTGTATGGTGACCACAGGTCCCATATCTTCTCTTTGTTATACAAGGAGGGACTTTGCTTCTGTTGCTCTGCTCCCTTTCATACTTCCTCATGTTCATATAGCGAGTGCGTAAGTGCAGTATTCAACCATAATCATATTCCTATTCTGCTCTAAGTTTCCATAGCTATGAGTTGCTAACCGTATTAATTTACATTTCTATGAGTATTTTTATTTATGTTTAATTGGTTCAATTGTGGAAGCATGGCCTAGAATCAAAAGTCGAAATGAACCACAGGTCAATAAAGTATACCTACAATAGCTATTTGTGTATAAGAATAACCTACTCAAAGTAGTTTCATTCTCGTAAAACGGCAGTATGACATCTTTTAGAGAAGTTTTTTTATGTTTGACTCTATAGGGCTGAGCCAATTGATGGTTCAATTATTCAAAACGGTGTGAGGAATGTTTTATCCAAGGTCAAGGCTGCTGGCATGCTTCGTTTGGCTTTCCATGATGCAGGGACTTTTGATATTGCTGATAAATCAGGTTCGATCTTTAATGTCTTCATTGGTTGAAGTTCTATATACAGTTTTAGAGCAAAAATTGAATGTGTATAAAGTAGAATTATAGAGTATTGCAAACAAGAACAAACTACGAATAACTACACTTCAACCTATCTAAAGATGAATTCTGAGAAGTAAAACAGTAGATGGATATTTATGACAATATCTTGCAGGTGGCATGAATGGATCTATAATTTATGAAGTTGATAGACCTGAAAATACTGGGCTAAATAAATCCATAAAGGTTTTTTTCCTCCTTTTTTTTCTTGCTTTTTATCATAAATAGTAGTAACATATCCTTACTGAAGAACAACATGTTTTGACTTCCCATATCTGTTTTTAATGACTTATAACTGAACAGGTATTAGGAAAAGCGAAAGAAGTAATTGACCTTGTGCAGCAAGGTACATGGTTTACACCCTTTTTATATGTTCTTTCTGTTTTGAGCTTCGGTTGTGATGTATCTTCAAGCACACATATACCGTTACTTTGCTAACAGTATCATGGGCGGATTTGATTGCCGTGGCTGGTGCTGAGTCAGTTGCGCTATGTGGAGGGCCAGAAATTCCAGTAAGACTAGGTCGATTAGATTCCAGGTGCAACATCACAGTGGTTTGTTCATTTAACAGTTCCCTTGCAATGTTGGCAAAATTTTAGGCTGTTCATTTCCAGGCAGTGCTTCTATTTAGTATGCATCCATATTTTTTAAAGAACATGTAGGTATCCATATTTTCTCAAAGTAATACCCATATTCTTATGAAATAATGCATTTGACTCTGTAGTACTGCTGATCCTGCTGGTAAACTTCCTGAAGAAACATTGGATGCCACTGCGCTGAAAACATTATTCAGCAAAAAGGGCTTTTCGTGAGTCCTCCTTTTCTCTACTTACACAAACATCTTGTGAATTCAATTCCCATTGCCTATTTATGAAAATTTACTAATGCGTGGTTAAAAATTATGTATCTGTACATGATACGTATCTGCACATGATTTCCCCTCTAGGCTTCTACAAAATGTTCCTCAAAACTTAGCATCCTTCCATGTCTGAAGTTAAACTTGATACTTGGCAGGACACAGGAGATGGTTGTGTTATCTGGAGCACACACAATTGGAGGTAAAGGATTCGGGAATCCAAATATTTTCGACAACTCCTATTTTAAAGTACTCCTTGAGAAGCCACAGCCATCTTCATGTAAGTCCATTCATTTTTTCCATCATGCCCTTTAAATACTGTCATCATGAATCCATAAGCCATAACTGAATCTCAACTTAGCTCATGCCTTTGTAAATCATCCTTGTACAATGTACAATCGACTTGGCATTATTTGTAAATCACCTTAATACAATGTGTTGTGTTCTTCTATGAAGCTGGCATGCCGGCAATGGTAGGACTGCGAACGGATTGGGCACTCACTGAAGATGATGAATGCTTAAGGTATTTTTTTTCTTGAACTAGATATGCTAAATAATGTCGCTTACTTGTTACAAGCTCTGAAGAAGTACTAGGGATAATCATAAGCTTCCAAACTCCATGCACTAATCCTACTCTATCTTCAATTCTTTCAGTCAGGACCTAGGCTTTAGGTTTTAAGTCACAAATTTATAGGACAAATAGATATATTTGCAAGGTTCCTTCATGCTCACATGTTTGGTCAGGCCATTGACATTGGGCATATGCCAAACTACTTGCAGATGGATCAATTTATATGCACAGGACCAAGCTAAATTTTTTGCCGACTTCAAGGATGCATACATCAAGCTTGTAAATACTGGAGCCTCATGGAGATCAGCTTAATTTTACTCGCACACAGCTCTCTCTCGTGTAGGCTATTAGGCACGATTCAAACGTAGGAACCTCAGAGAATTTTTGTGGAAAACAAAGCAATGGAGGTCTGGATTTCTTAATATTTACTCCAAAGACAAGCTTTCACCGTAAATTTCTTACTGTTACGAAATCATAGTCATTAAATAGGAGTTTCGAACATGAATCCAACAAATATATTTTTGTATAGCAAAACCTATATATTATTTTATTACCAAGGGTCAAAGCATAGAACTAGACAATCAAAATCCTCCTTATATTTTTGAATGTAGGGGGCTAATAAATCATGCAGTTCTGTAGGATATATTTTCAACAAACATCAATAAGGAATGTAAGAATTGGAACTTTCATGTTAAAGGCAGCGTTCTTTTCTGAAACTTCAAACGTCATGTTCCTCGGTTTTCATTAGCACATATTTTAAACTACTAAACGGTGTGATTGATTCTCTCGTTTTACGCACTGGTTGGCGAAAAGCTTATAAATGACTTGCACATTAGAACAAAGCCTAAATTTGGTACTACAAGTGATCACAAAGAAAAGCGAAAAATATGGGACAAATGATTACAGAGAAAGCCAGCAACGTTTGATCACTCGTCTTATTCAAAATTTTTTGAAATTATTATTTATTTTATTTATAACTTACTTTATTATCTACAGTACTTTAAGCACAACTTTTCGTTTTTTATATTTACAAAAAAAATATAACTAAGACGAGTGGTCAAACGTTGCAAGCAAAAACTCAAAATTCCTTATACTGTGGGACGGAGGGAGTAATAATCTAGTACAGTAGTAATAACACTGTTATTGTCATCTCTCCTAGCTCCGGCGAGCCTCGTCTCCACGGCGGCCGGCGGCTATCCGGTCACAGATTCCTGAGGATCTGGACGATCTGGTCGAGCTTGTCCAGGTTCTTCTTCCGCTCCCGCTCGCGATCCTCCTCCCGGCTCACCATCTCGGCGACCTGCTTCTCCCGCTCCTCGCCGCGCCGCTCCAGCTCGACGAGGCGCCGCCGCCGCTGCTGCTCTTCGTCGTTCGCCTGGATCGATATGCCGATGCACAAGCCGGCGAAGAAGCAGACGAAATTCGCCGCCATGGAGAACGAACAAGAGAGAAAAATTACGAAACCGAAGGTATATATGCTGCTTGGCCGGTCGGTGATCGCCGCCGCCGCCGATAGGATTATTATCGAACGGGCTGCTTGGATCTCCGGCGAGGTTGTGAGTACGTCGTGGTCGTGATGGAGGCAGGCTGCATATATAATATGAAGATTGTTAGCGAACTACCGCAAGTTTAGCCGATCAAAACAGAACGAGCGAGAAGAAACTTGGCAGCGTTTTCTGTTGTATTAGGAAACTTTAAATAGTAAATTACATGCCCACAACTTCCTACTTGATCGCGCCATCCCACGACCGAAGCTGTTGCCATGCGTTCCTAAACTCCCGCCACTTCGCCATGCCTCCTGACTAGACCGCGCCATCCCACGATCGGAGAACACACGAAGCGCACGCACTCACTAAAAAACTGGAAAGAGCTCCCGCATGAACGCAGCATGCGTCGGAGCGATACACACGCCATGATCCCCAGCAAAACCGGATTACTTCAACAATATTAATGGAGTTTAGGAGTTTCTGTCGGGATCCAAGTTGATCCAGATGCGCGAAATTAACTTGTTTGATTTGGACTCAATTTTTGCGTTATCAAATTGTTAGTATAGAGATTGAACTACGTGAATAAAAATTGGTAGCAAACCAAACAGGAAGTGGATTTTTTTAAAAAAATTCCTCAAGGGAACATTCGTGCATGGCATTTAAAATGCCATAAAAAAAGTAAGATAGATCAAAGTAAGTTGAATTTGAACATGCATATTTCTATAGTGACATATCACAAATTGATCTATGTTACTAAATATTTATAAATTTTGACTTCTAAGAGACATGCAGAAATAAGACAACATACCCTTAAAAAATGAACAGAGTTTTCCAACATACTCTTAGTCACCTAACACTGTAACACGCTGCATAAATTCTGGAATCGATATGTTACAGTCACCGGCAACATTTCCTATTTAAGCTAGTGTAGATGGAGCTAGCTAGCCGAGGTGGTACTAAGCTAGCTACAGCTGCCGCTACTGCTCGCTTGCTTGCTGCGTTGCTGCACGCGTGGGCCAAGGGCCCAAGGCCTAGCTGCTGCTGGGCTGCACAGCTAGCGCGCTTTTTTTTAGCTTTTTTTTTTAGTATCCCTTTTTCCTATAAAGTTATCCCCCACTACGGGCAATTAAGATCCTAGAGCTTAAACCTCAATGATCAACGTCATCATTAATTTATAGCCCTTAGATCGGTAGATTAGATTGCATCTGCACCGTTGGATGCAATCTGCCTCGGGGTCGAACACAACACATATACTGCAGCCCAGGAGGCCCAAGTCGTGAGGCCCAGGAGGCCCAAGTCAGTCCAATGAGAGATTTTAGGGTTCGGTATGTCTCATCTCCTCCTGACTTCCTGAGCAGAGCAGCAGCGGCGTAGTGCGACGGACCCTAGCGCTCGCCCACCGCGTCGCGATCGCGCGCAGGTGGCGGTGGGGACAGGGCGCTCGGTCGCAGGAGGCGGCGATGGCGCGCAGGTGGTGGTGGGGACCGCGCTCATCTCGGTCGCAGTAGGAGGTAGTGATGGGGAGCTGTGTAGCGATGCGGCGATGGGGGAGAAGCGTCTGGACTCGGCAACCAGCGATACGGCGATGGGGAGAAGCGTCTGGACTCGGAAACCCTAGCGCCATCCATCCGATGGGAAGAAGCATCTGGAACCCTGGCACCATCCATGGTGAAATCAACCGCCCCCTCCCCATCTTCTTGGCTAGCAGAAACGGTAATCACCATGCTTCTTCCCATTCCCCGCCCTTAATGATGTGCATTTACATTAGAAACGGCCAAAATCATTATGGTACTGGAGGCACGATGGTTAATACGATTTATGTGCCTCTTGCAATTTCTCTTCGTAAGCCTCTTCCAAACCTTTTGATAATCCTCTTGCAATCCCCAGTGCTACCAGACGTCTCCTCAAACCTGTGCCTCTCCGTCAGACATCATCCATCCATCCGCAAGCCTCAGATCCATACCTCCCTCGACATCATCGCTTCATCCTGCAAGCATATTCTCCAATTCGGACATGATTGCGATCACGGCAAGATAGGTTAGTTGTGGATCAAACTTTGTCAGATCATTGTATGTAGGCTTCGTTACTAATTTTGTATGTCTGAATTGAGTTGGTTCTTACTTCTTTGCCCTAAGTACTGATTTTAGTTTCTGAAAAAAATATGTCTGAATTGAGTTGGTTCTTTGCCCTGAGTACTGATTTTAATTTCTGAAAAAAAATGTGTGAATTTATTCTATTTGATAAGCCTGAATTTGACATCAATTTTGTCCATATTCTATTTGAGCAAACATTATGATTTCAACCAGGCAAGATCACTATGAAAGCTTTGTAAATTGGATTCTCTACACCTAAAGAAATAATCCCTATCCTATGCACTGATTGTTGTTCCAGTTATTTAAGAAAAATAAACTGATATTTGCAGTGGATACTTATATGTCCTATGTGATTTTAGTTTCTGAAAAAAAAGTGTGAGAATTTATTCTATTTGATAAGCCTGAATTTGACATCAATTTTCTCCATATTCTATTTGAGCAAACATTATGATTTCAACACTGATTGTTGTTCCAGTTTTTTAAGAAAAAATAAACTGATATTTGCAGTGGATACTTATATGTCCTATAACTTTAATGTATTTGAGCAGTTGGTGAGGAGCCAGAGGATTGCTACATAGATGTCCTGACATAGCGAGAAGCTACTAACCTGCTCGGTATGTCTTCTGTTGAGCTCACCCCATGCTATTCATGTTTCCTGTTAAAATGTGAAAAAAAATCATTTAAAAAACATACGTTAAATGTTATCAAAATTTTTGAAACTATGCACATCCATAGTTCATGTTATGATGCGTTTTTGTCACAAAAAAGGTGTTAAAATGAAAGCTTTTGGATGCTTTAGTGAGTCAGTTCAGTATGTGTAAATTTCACATGATTTTTCTCAGAACAATATTTGAGCATACATTGTGGATTTTGCACATGCAGGAGACCTATGCACTGGGTACTGTTTTAGTTTCTTAAAAAAATAGAACCTGCAGCTTATACTGTTTTTCAAACTATGCAAATCCATAGTTCATGTTATGATGCATTTTTGTCGCAAAAAGTGTGATAAAATGAAAGCTTTTGGTTGGTTTGGTGATTCAGTTCAGTATGTGTGAATTTCACATGAATTTTGCCAGGTTATATTATATTCGAGCATACATTGTGGTTTTTGCACATGTTGGAGACCTATGCATTGAGTACTGTTTTAGTTTCTTTAAAAAAATGGTGCTTGCAGCTTATACTTCTTTCACCTATCCTTTATTAATAGATACAAGAACATTTGTTTCATCACTTGAGGAGAAGCCTGACAATTGTCATAAAAGCAGATAACCTTGCTCGGTATGTGTGTTGTTCAACTCATCCTATATTTTTCATATTTTTTTGTACATCTCTTTTCTGATTTCATATTCCAGTTACATCTTATGCGTATACTCCTACATTTTCAAATATAATAAACTTACATCCGATATTTGTAAATATATGATCAGATGCTTTGTTGATTAAAACTAAAAAACAAAGGGTTCAACCCATGGATGCTGGGCAAAGTACTTCACGTTTTCCAGTAGGACGTCGCCGGTCAAGACGTCCACTGGCACATATTTTGGTACCTCACCCTGATCATGCTACTGCTGCTGAATCACGACGAAAACGTAAACTCATATTGGATGCCCATAGAGGTAGAGGTTGGTTCCCCAATTTACACCTTCAATTTTTTTTTAGTAATGTAAAGTTTATCGTTGCCTACCTACCTTAGTTACCCGGTTATAGCCTATCTAATTATGTACCCACATTCCCTTCACAACATATAGCATTATCTTCAGAACAACGGTCTTTGCATCGAGAGTTGAACATAACTGAAATAGGCTCTTCATCTGCATCTACTCCTCCATTGGCTAATGAACAACGAATTATTGGAATATCCTCTCATTCACAGTCAGCTGAGAGTAATAATTCTTCATCTGTGTCTACATCAAACCAAGTATTTCGCCATCACCGTATGTTATCATATCCTTTATACGTAAAATTTGACATACGCCAACCTTACATCTTATATATAACAGTATCTGCCATCTTCCATTCATATACTTTGTTAGGAACAATCTATGCTCCACTTAATCTTGGCAGCCATATTGAATTTGTAATCCACCTCCAGAACCCATATTGAATTTGTTAACTTCTGCGAGCTCCCTTTCAAATCATTTCTTGCAGCATATTCATCGATACAATTCCATGTTTGCTATGACTTCAATGGGGGCTAAAATCATTGAATCCATCAACGACGGCCATGGACCATATGTCTTCAAAATTAGTGGATAGATCTGCCACAGAGTAGGCTCTTTAATACCTTCACAAGGTCGTCGGCCAGAATATGCTCAGCTATACATCTTCGATACAGAAAATGAAATCTCTAACATAATCAACATTGCTTCTTCTTCTCGCGACTCCTTCCATGCCAATGAAGAAATTGTTCGCTCTCTAATAGAAATGTTCGATACACACAATCCCATTGTGAAGTTATTCCGAACAGCAAGAGAAAGATTAAGTGAAAATGAATCTGATCATTACAAGATCCGACTATTTGGCTCGACAGATGCACATGGAGATATATACAGTGCACCAGTTGCAGCAGAGGTTGTAGGATTAGTTGTTGGGGATATTGGGGTGACTGATATTGGTCGGGATATAATAATACAACACCATTCATCACAATTGCAGCGTATAGATGAAAAACACCGAAAATTTATGGCCATGCAATATCCTATTTTATTCCCATATGGTGAAGATGGTTTCCATGAATCCAACATGTATAACCAAACAGCAAGTTCATCTGCCTTGCGGCGTAACAAAGCAACAATGGTTGAATTCTTTGCTTATATAATGCATGATAGAGCGGGCCAATTCAACACTCCATTACGTTGTGGGAGGTTAACCCAATCTTATTTGGTTGATGGCTATTGTTGTGTTGAAGGTGAGCGCATACAACACTATAGGTTGCCCAGTTTTCAACACAAATATAGATTGGCACCATTCAATTCTTTAGCCAGCTCTGTGTCTAGAGGCATTACAACTGGTTCTTCGGCTGGCCAACGGGTTATCTTACCAGCCTCTCATACTGGAAGCCCTCGGTATCTATATCAAAACTATCAAGACTGCATTGCTATTTGTAGGAAGTATGGTTGCCCAGATCTTTTTGTCACATTCACATCAAATGCATCTTGGCCAAAAATTCTACAAGCTCTAGCACCTGGACAACAACCTT